GCTGGGGGATTGAACCGCGGTCCCTGATGCTTTGCTAAGCTTGTTCTAAGTAGGTGCTTTAGACCACTGAGCCATCTCTCCAGCCCTAGTCACATTCTCAAATCATGTCTCCAAGAATTTTAATGTAAGAAATGATTTTTAATTCCATAGCAGATTTAAATAAAATCAACAATTAGTACTTTTATTAGACATAAATAGTACTCTTACCTCTGGAGGTTTCATATTCAGTACTTTTGTAATGCGACCCTAAAAATAAAATGGCAAACTCACTATAATGATAACAAATTATAGAAAATGTAACCTAAAGACAGTTAGTATAACTTACTTATCAGCTGTATGTCAATACACTAATCTTTGGAAAGGTTTTTCCTATACATGAGACAGTATTACTTCTGTTAAACTTGCAACCAAAGGTACTTCACAGTTTCAGAATTTTGGAACTCTGTTATTCACTTTCTCAGTTAGCAGTTATATCAATTACTTAAATTATTAAATTATATAAATAAAATACCTAACTGAATGAAACAAAGTTAACACAAACCATGTTTCTAAGACAGTTAATATTAGAAACATTGACATACCTAATTCTAAAACAACTATGTATATAGATTTTAACATAATTAATGAACATTTATCAATGTTTATATACTTCTAAGATAATTTCACAAAACAGATGACAGATTTCTAAATCTCAAATAGAGTATTTTACTTAAATACCAGAAAAAGAGGCAGACTGAATTCGTTTATTGCGCAAACAAACAAAACAAAGACCTACACACCCAAATCCGAGAGGACTGTATTACTTAGGATATAGATTCATTTCTAGAAATCCTCAGCTTTCAAGCAGAAGTATATGTTTATATTTGAATGTGATCCCCAAAGTTCCCATATTGGGAACTTGAACCTAGACAATGATTAGGTCCTCAGGGCCTTGCTCTCTTGAAAAAGTTCATGTTAGAGGTAGGTTCGGGTTTAAGTATGTCTCTTATAAAAATGAGTTCGGCCCTGCTTACTTCTTTTCTGTAGCCTTTCGGCCTTCTGCCACACCACAGGATAACAAAGCTCCCATCAGATGTTTATCCCATGCTCTTGGACTTCTAAACCTCCAGAATCATGAGCCAACAAACAACCTCTATTGTTTAAAATTACCATATCTGGTTTTCTGTTATACTAACACATGGTCCTAGCACCATCCTGCCACCGACCTTGCTGTGACTCTCAGAGAATAGCTGCATGAGTCAAGTGAAGGATCAAATTCAAGCTAGTATCAGTCTTTACTTTTCATTTGCCTTAGTCTCTACGAAGAAGACAATTACTCAGACTTTTATGCTTAAAATCTTGAAATGCTGAACTCAATTTATACAAATTTGACTAATTTTTATACTTAAGAGGTGCCTAGACACAGCACAACAGTGAATTAAACTTCAAATCTGGAGAAAAAAGCCAAATCAATGTAAATAAAAAAAGCATTCATCCTATCACAGTAACTTAAAAATAAAAGATAATAAAATTATTATGAAGGACACAGAAAAACTTCAACCAAAATACCTGCATGATGAGAAAATGAGGATTGTTTACATTCAGGCCAACAGAACAGAAGAGATCCTGCACTCTGGTGTTATTTGCATTTACTCCATTGATTAAATATTTATTTCTGCCACCAATAACTACCTAAGGAGGAATAATTTTTAAAAATATTGGTAAATTACAAAATATGCTTTGTTCAGTCTAACTATAAACAATGTAAAACTAATATATATACCTAATCCTGGGTAAGCAATGAAAGAAGTGTTCTATGGTCAAAACGATTAGCAATTTGAAACAAGATAACCAGTTTCTAACTTGGGCACTTTTGCTAACTAGTTATATAATCATGTATAAACCTAACCTTAAAAGTATCTTTCCCAGAATGGAATGGTTATCTCAGATGATAATTAGGTCTCAGATAACTGAGGTGTTCAAGCATAGCCAGAGAAGATGCACATGTGGTTCAAGGTTCAAGCATGGTGGAGTGATTCCACTGGAAGACCTCACAGATTTCATTCAGTCCTTAATATTGGAAGTTCAAAATTTTAATTCACCCACAAATCACTTATCCACAGGGCCAACATGTTTGAGAACCGCACCAGTATATGATTTTACCACAGTGTAAACATGTCTACTTACACAAACCTAGGCAGTTATGACATCACTCAACATAATCATGTGGGAGCAATGTCACACATTCTCTTTATCACTGACTGAAAGTCTGTGGCACATGACTATGTACAGTAGTTTTAGGGACTCTAATCAGTTTTTGCTCATAAACTTTTAGTCTCCCACACCTTTTGCAAAGCCATAAAGCCAAATAACATATCGCCACTAAAGTTCTTAATGTATACAAATGTTTAACAGTCACTCACCTGCCTTGTTACTGTGATTTCATCGTGAACTTCAAATCCCAAAGGGCTTTGCTTTTTGTCAGAATTATCAAAGGTGATTGACACAGAGGCTTTGGTAATTCCCGCCTGCCCATTTTTGTAAACTAAATCTTGTAGATTAGCAGCCCGAACCTAAAACAGAGTTTATCAATTACAAAATCTCGTATTGTACCAAGGAGCTGGGTTCCTCACTTTGGAAAACCCACACATGTAGTAATGTCGGTGTAGTTACGAACGGTCTTATCCACTGGTAAAGACAGCAAGGACAACAGACCTGCAGTGCTCTTTACAGTGCCCTTTCTTTACAGTACCCTTCCAACTCTGACTTTTCTATTCACTTCTTACAAAAGTTAAGCTGCAAGATTTATGGGAACACAGTGCCTATGAATTTCAACAGCCATCCAACCCACTCCTATGTCCTAAGAAGGCACAGTATCCACAGGTGGAAATAAAAAGTGAGTAAAACCTGTGGAATGAGACAGCTTTAAAATCGCAATCCCCCAACCTGGGTATTACTTCCAAACATCTTAGCAGACAGATCCCAGGCAACAACTCCTTAAGTTTCCATTTTCTCATCTAACAAATGGGATAATAGTTCTTCATAAAGGGCTGCATAAAGGTATAAAATACTTCACATAAAAATACAAGTACGTATCAGCAATATTCTCCACCATTTAATAAGGATTCCCTTGTCAAACTTAAATTCATAGCAAGCAGAAAGTTTACACGTTACCTGAGATAGGTTGGAGATGCCCAGCAAAAAGCAGATAGAGTCCAGTATGTTGGATTTTCCGCTACCATTCAAACCAGTGATAGCATTGAAGAGGGGGTCGAAGCCATTCACTTCAGTCCTCTGCGCGTAGGACTTGAATCCCTCGAGAACGACTGACTTAATATGCATTTTCCAATACTATGTGGGGCCAGTAAATCTCCGCTAGAAATCAAAAACCCACAAACTAGGACTGTATAAAATTAAACGTAAACCTAGGTTTATAATGGGCATTAAACACTAAAACAGGAATGCCAGAAACAGAAATAGCCACTTGCCAAACTCCTTTTCCAACGTGAAGTCTATCTTCCTCCTACTTAAAAACATACAAAATCCAACCGCTGCGCAGAAGTTAAAGCACTCAACTTGAAAGTCGTTCTCTCCTGCAGCTATTTTTGCCGTCGCCTCCCACTTTCAGCATACTCTAGCTACCCTAGCAAGGACCACTGACTATTGCATCTGTCACCCTTTTGCCCAACGCTCTTCTCAGACTGTCACCGCACTTACACCTTCGCACAAACCCCACTTTATTGAGATTCCTCTTGACCTTATGCAAGAGGTTCTTCCCGACCACCCTTTTTCCTTCCCTCTCCACGCCACGTAACCCTGACGCTAACATTTACTTGTCTATCCAAGCCACTATACGTTCCCGCGGAAACTTCGCTGTATCCCAGAATAACCGTTCGATTATCAGAGACGAGATGAACGTCATTCCCAAAGCACTTGTGGCGCTCAGACTGTCACGCCCGCCCAGTGTATTTCTCTCGGCACCGCCTCGCCTCCCTCCACGAGATCGAGTTCTAATCTCCATCCCTAATGAACGCCGCGGCCGCTTCACACTACTCTCCGCCCGCCGCCCTGCCCCGCACCCGCCGACACCGCTAGGCCCGGCTCACCGAAGCTCGTGGGCTGCCGCCGCGGCGCTGCGCAGCCTGCGCCCGCACGCCTCGGAAGCCTCTCTCCGTCGCCGAGGTGGAGAGGAAGCCACCCTTACCGAGCTCAGGAGGCTATGAGGCCAACTTGACCATCACTACAGATCCGCCCCGGTCCACACACCCGCGCAGGAACTATTTATTCCTTTGAATTTCGGCGCGAGCAAAGGACCCCCACCTCCGCAACACATTTCCTGTGTTGGTGCCTCGTAGTTGCCTGATTTCAGGTTTCATCTTTTCCCTCCATTCGAAGGATCAAAGTGACGCGGCGATAAGAAAGAGAATTTCTACATAAATACATCCGAGACTACAACGATGAGGTTGTAGGAACTAAAGAAAAATGTTGTAATTGTTGACATCTGCGTCCGGCATTCTCTGGGCAGCCCACGCCTCTGCTTGGGGGCCTCGCGCTCCGCCCCGCCCCCGTCCGCCCTCGCCCCGCCCCGCCGGCGCCTTCCGGCCTGGCTGGCTCCGCCCCTGGAGTGCCCGCGGAACTCTCCCGCGCTCTCTGCGAAGTCACCCCGTTATCTGACCCAGAGTAGTCTTCCTTGGAGTGTTTTCGTTCAGTTTCACAAGTTCTGGGTCCCTTGCTCGCCTGTTTCTGACCAGCGAGCCTTTTCATCTGCAGAGGGGATTACGGAATTTTGGGGTTCAAGGGGAAGTTCATAGTTTTAAACTGAACTTGAAAGGCACATTTTGAGTATTTTATTCTGAGTACAATAGTGTTTGAACTATGGTGCCCCATGATTAACCTGTCTGACGATCTTGGAAAGTATCACACCTAAGCATAACTTAATAGAAAATATTCACACCCCAATGGGATGTGTTTAGAGGCACTCATTTTAATTTCAATGACAATATTGTTTTTAAAACTCTATCCTCTGGTCTTGGTGAATGGTTCCTATTCTTTTATCATAATTTCTGTATTTTTTTTCTTTAATCAAGCTAAATATCTTTATTTTATCTTCTTTTACATGTAGTTCTCTACACCTACCTTCTGAATTTCTAACTCTTGTTTACAATATTTGCTAACTTTTGCTCACAGTGATTTATTTCTTCTGTTACTTTTCTTCTTGAGACTGTTTTGCTTTTGGCAATCTCTTATGCCCTGACTTGTGAGAGTATCTCTTTAGAGCAATTAAACATTGCTCAAAGTTCTTTGCCTCTTAAAGATCCTGAGGATGTTTTTAAATGATAATTTCTCTTGTTTGGAGTTCCTGAATGATGTGGATGTTGTAAGTTTAGACAGAGTTTTGTTTTCTCATAGGTACCGTTAAGATGCCCCCTACTCACAGCCCCAAGCAAAGAACAAATTTTCTTGCCTCTTCCCCAAGCTAGCGCATAGCGCTTCTCCAGTACCAGTGAGGCTTTATGGAAGAGATTTTCTGCATCGCCAAAGCTCAAGGCCTTGTGCTTGGACATTAAAATCTAGCTATTAGGAGACTGGAGGCATAGCTCAGTAATGGAGCCTCTATTATTTTTTGATTTAATTCCCAGCAGCAAACCAGAATAAAAAAAGAGAAACAACAACAACAAAACAAAAAACAAAAAAAAAAACCTAGTTGCTAGCTCACGTTGGAGGCTGTCATTTATTTCCCTTCAGGAACACCAGTGATCTTTGTTTTGCTCCTGGGGAGCCTTGCCTGCTAGTTCTCATGTTCTCCATTCCAAGTAGCTTTTCCTAAACACCAAGAGAATATTAAGAAAATTTTTTCATATACTATTCATGAAATCAGTTCTATTCTCACTCATTTCCCTGCCTCCTTTCTCTTCTTTCCTTCACCCATGTTATGGTTTGTGTCTAATTGCCCCCCCCCCCCAAGCCCTCCTGCAGTCTTGGAGCAGCTTCTGGAGTTTGTGATTGATTACTGTGGGTGTGGGTTCTGCACCCGCCCTGGGGCAGGTAATTTGCATCACAATGTAGGGAGGAGAGAGGGGCTAGCTAGCTGCCAGAGCTGTTGTTTTTCTCTTTGCTCTCTCTGCTCTTTGCCATCACCAAGGACGGCTACTCTGTGCCTTAGAGCCAGGTGAGTATGAACTGAAACCTTTACTAACTGTGAGCTAAATAAACCTTTCCTTTCTTCATTTGGGGTGTCAGGTATTTGTCCCAGCAATGAGAGAAGTGTAACTAAGACACACACCCCCCCCCCTTATTTTTGTGTTACTAGCAATTGAAGACCAGGACGTTCACACTAAGCACGAGTTCTGCCCTGTCCACCCAGCACTTTATAAGAAAGGTTCTCACTAAATCACTAAATTGCCCAGGCTCATGGGCTGGAATTTAGGAGTCTCTTGACTCAGCGTCACAGTGTTGGCATTACTGGTCTGTGCCACTAGGGCCATTGCAGTGGTTTTTTTAAAAATTACCTAACCCAATTTCTACTAGAGCCAAAGAGACTCTCACTCTTAAGATTTTTTTTCTTCCACAAAATCTGTTCGTGCAACTTACATCTCTTCTTTTTACTCATTGTACAGTGACCTACACACCAAATATTTCCTTTTCAATATTTAGCCTTGCTTCCTGCTTTATTTTTCTTTATTTATTCATTTACTTATTTATTCAGTGTGGTTTGTTCATTTGTTTGTTTTTTGAGACAAGGTATATGCAGTACAGGTTGGCTTTGAACTAACTTTAGTCCAGGAGGACCTCAAACTCACTTCCCAAGTGCTAAAAAGGTTGTTCTTGAACTCACTTTGTAGATAAGGCAAATCTCAAATTTACAGAGATCTTCATGCCACATCTTTCTGAGTACCAGATTAACAGGCATGTAACACCATACCTGTCATTTCTTGCTGCAATACGACTTCTTAGCTGCCAGTCTCTGTCCCCTCTAAAAGTCTATAAATGTATCTTTATATCAGAAATACAATACATTTTCCTGTTATTGGCTGCCTTGCCCCCAAAAGCTGCTCATCAACTAAACATTACTTGGTTTGAGATTGTTCACCTCTTCTACCACAGTTGCATTCAAGGGTCTTCTCATCTTGAATAAAGAATTGAATGAAACAAGCAAAAAGCAAGCTAAAGTTTATCCAAGAAAGTAAAGATGAAGAACGGGAGAGAACCTGACTCTGCAGAGTGAGTTTGGGCTGAGTAAATAGAAACAGAGGGTGATAGCAAAGATAAAAGCATATGCTGCGTCTGGGAAACTGCATGGGCTGTCATGAAAAGTTATGCTAGCAAGCTCTTAATGGCTCATCTCTCCTTTTATGCCATCCAAATCTCAAGGAAATCCCCCAAAACTTGTACATATGGATCCTGGTCGTGCTGCGATATGGTGTGGTGCTGGGATCTCATGTCCCAGTCTGACATCAAGCCTAGACCATCTTATTAAATACCTGCTGGACTTGGATCTTGGAGTTAACAGGTCACACCCCATTCCCCAGCCTAAACCCCTATCTCATTCCTTCTGTTCGAACCCTTGATAAAATTTTCCAGTGCAAGTTGGGAAAAGTGACACATACCTGTAATCTCATTACTCTGGGTGGCTGCAGAAGAAGGATGGTGAGTTTGAGCTCAGCCCAGGGAACTCTGTGAGACTCTGACTCAAAATAAAAAAAGACTGAGGATGTAGCTCAGGGTGAAGAAGCTGATTGCAATCCCTTGTATGACCCCTGGCACCTGATTCTTTATGGGATTATTTACCTCTTCAAGGCGTCTCTGATTTTTCATTATTTGTTCTCAAACTTTTTTCCGGATTCATCTGCTGTTTTCTCCTTTAGATGATCATCACTTTTGTTCACTACTGGGAACCAAGCACCAACCAATGACAAGAAAATATTCAGCAACTTGTTAATGAATAGATGAATTAATGAATCAAATAGGTATTGACAGTATACCAGCATTATCGCAATAATTGTGTCAGGTGCTGGGATAGAATGGTGAATAAGGTATGGTATTGTCTCCAAGAAGTCTACAGATGAGTGTAGAAGACTTGTTGTGTAAAGATATTAACCAGAGGTAAAGGAGGGAGAAATGGAACCTAAGTAGATTACACAACAAATGGAATAAAAGATAGACGTAGTATATGCAGAAAATAATAGCGAGATGCAGTGTAAGAAATATACAGAAGCCAAATTATAAAATCCACCTGCCATTATAACTTTTTGTTATTCTAAAATATTGATATTAACTTGTCTCTGCAATTCTAAACTTGAAATGTCAACCCCTTTCAGCATGCACCTATGTGTGTTTCTATTTCTATTTTAACAGTATAATCTAATCTACATTTGAAACGTTATTTATAAGGTCTTCAGTATTCCCCCACCCCTATCCTACCTTTTCTTCTGTACTCTCTTCCTGTTTTTAAAATGCCTTTGTGTGGGCCAGGGAGATAGCTCAGTAGCATAAGCATCTGCCTGGAAAGTGCAAGGACCTGAGTGTAATCCCCAGTACTCTCAACCCCAAAATACCTTTGTGTTACACCCCAGTGCCCAAAACACAATAAATACTTAAGAAATATTAGTTAAACATGAATAATCTCAGGAGTTCATTTTCTGTTTTCTTATTAGCTAAAAGAAAGTTCTTTAAAAAACCAAAATCTTGAAATGAATGAATACTGGAATATACAATATAGTTCACAAAATATCCAATTGTTTTAAGGTTCAGCAAGTTAATGGTAATGAATTCTCATTGATCTAACATGGAAGACTTTTTAGAAATACCTGCCAGCGAAATAATCTGCTATATAATATCATTAGTAACCACTATTGCTAAGGATTTTACTTTGAATTATGCATTTCAGTTTTATGCTTTGGAGAGCTCTCAGCACTGTATAGTTTTGCACAAGTCGTGCAATTTTTGGCCTGTAAATAAAAATGACCTTCTCCTGTGCTACAGGAACAAGTGACATTTCAGACTTAAAGAACAGAATGCATGTTTCCCTTTGTAAGTCCTTGTCAGTGTGTAATTTCATCTTTCCTTTGTACTTCCTTATTACATACACGGACTTCTGTTACATGTACTCGTTCATATGTTTGTCTCACTGTACCGTGAACAATTTGATCCACAGATCTGTCTGGAAACCTAGCAGCCAGCCCAGCTCCATATAGATGTACACTCCACAAATGCTCATTGAATGTATGAACAACTACATGAGTATGAAAAGAAATCAACCGTCTTTAAACCAAAGA